TACGTATTATAATGACCTGATATCTGTGGATTTAATAGTTTCACACAACATTCCTTAGCACATACATCTAGAATATATGTGTTTTAAATAGATATATTACTTTGTTTAAATAACTATAACTTAACTTTATGCTTTTTGTACGATGTACGATATATATTACTTTGTCTTAACTGATATATGTCTGACCCTCACAGTTGATGAACATAATATAGTCCAAATTTCTTTGTCTAAAAAAAAAAACCATGTCTGTCTCTCAAAGTTCGTGAGTGATATTAACTTTGTATAATGCCTGACCCTCATCCTTTCACACAAGCATTTCACACAAGCATTTCACACAAGCATTTCACACGAGTTCCCTTCATCATTTCACGAGTTCTAATAATTATTATAATACTGTATATGCAGGTTTTTTTCTTTTCTTTTATTAGAAAAGTATTACCGTATTAATAAAAGTATTAATAAGACGGTAAGAAATATATAAGGTTCGTTCTTTCCATTTCTCTACATCAAATTCTTGATAAAGACTAGCAGCTAAGATTGATTAAAACTCTGAACTAGTAAAATCAGGTTCAAACAATCCGTAATGCGTCTTTTCGATACAATTAAACTGATTAATAAGCAAACTTGTAGTAACTTGCGTGGTTACGTAAGATTATTCAACAATAACATACTGCAAAATTTGTCCGTAATTTATAAATAAAATTGTTCCTGCAGATTAAATAAACCTAGTTTATAACTTTACGTGGATATTTTACGTGGCGTAATATTTCAAAAAAAAAAAACTTTACTACAACAGATAACGAAAATAACTTGTATTACTTCTAACTTCAAAATTCACACCAGTGGTACGTACTTGTCCCCGTTGTGCAATAGTATTAATTACAGTATGTTGTAACTGTCTATGTTTAATATTTTCTAATGTAATTCATCAATCTAACTATACCAATACTAATCCAATACTAATCCGATACTAATAACAATACTAATATGTACTATAATTCATAATTCATAATTGTCGCGATTAAAAAGTAAAAAACCATGACTGACCCTCGTATAACATGTCATAGGTACTAACCGTATTATATATGTCTGTGTTTCATAATTTTTACTTGTTGTAGAAAAAAAAAGATTCGAGCGTACTTCCAAAAAGAACAAAGGCTGATTATGCAATTTATCAATTTATGTATAAATTATTCAATTGTATGGTCAATTGTATGGTCAACTGTATGGTACGTACGTACGTACGTACGTACAGTACATTACTGTAGGTAAATCTCTATTGTTTGGAAAATTGTTGTATCGTTTTTCTTATTCATTAAATACATATTTACATACATAAATCAAAACATGTAACATATCAAATTAAAAATATTTATTATAAATCTTTAACCAATTTATAATCGTTTACTCCGAAAAAGGGTCTCAGTGTACAGCTTAAATTTAGTGATTGAGATCATTATGCAAGGGATTAAAAGAACTATGTATCACGTGAATTACTAAAATCGCTACGTATTCTTTTATGAATCTCTTTTAAGTTACGTATGTCACATTAAGTAACTATTTTTTTGCGTATTTTTTAGGTATTACCGTTACGAAAAAATCCCCATAACAGATAACGTAAATGGAAATTCCTATGGTAAACAAAAAACCAATAAAAGTCATTTTTCGGATTGCCAAATTCCGACTAAGCATAATAAAGCGTAATGATAAAACTGTGCATCAAAAACAAGTCCCTAATCTCTAGAATTTTTCCAAATTGTTACTAGCGCGTCCATGTGGGTAGTACAGTTTAAATTCCTCATTTAAAGTCGAAACATCCATAAAGACTCCGTATATTCTAGATGTATGTGCTAAGGAATGTTGTGTGAAACTATTAAATCCACAGATATCAGGTCATTATAATACGTA